TTGCCAATTAACCATCAACTGCACATCCGCACAGTTTCTCTACATTAACTTTCCGTTGCGCTAGTAGTTCACACCGTAGAAATTCTACAACTATCCCTAACAGGGGAAACTTTTTTAGCTGCCCACATGAGGACAGTCGATCTACCGTTTCAAGGCACATCACACCTGTAAACCTATATCACATTTGCCACTAAGGCGGCATAAACGGTAATTTCCGAGTCCTTTCTCATTTATTACATTGTGTAATTTGCCGGTTTCCTACCGTAAATACAGCCGCTGCAGTCACAACACCAATCTACACCACTAGTTTTTATAAAGTGCTATATCACGAGAGAGACAGTCATGCGGATTGGGTCTGAGTTCGCTAATCATTGACCATGGCATTTTAGAAACTCACTAACACTTTCTCTCCGTGACGTTTGCTCCTAATAATGGACTAATTATTTCGTGCTAAGGTATATTTCTCATTGCACCGAATTCCAATAATCAAACATGTAATCACATAAACCTACAAATTGCTTTAACTAAATGCGCATTTCCTTAATGTTATTATATTATTTTAACCAAAGACTGCCTACCGCATGATGTGCTTTTTCACTCACACCTCGTTTTTTGCAGATGCAATTACAAAGCCTCTTCAAGACATTGAGCTGCAGATCGGGATCGACGGGATGCTTGTTTGTTCTAATTAAATCTGAAAAATAAGTGTTATATTTTGTCCATAATTATGAACTCTCTACTTTATTTATGTTTCAATGTTATATTTTTAACGTCGCTAATATACACTGTATGTACTCAGTCCAGTCCAGCCACAAACAACTTTGTACTTTCTTTTTAATTAAAGTTTATATATTTTACGCTGTTGAGTACTCACTCTTTAAGTCCAGTCCAGCCACAAACAACTTAAACCCTGATTTGCTGTCGCAAAGTGCAGATCCGGGTCTATGCAACTTGTTAGAACTAATCAACAGAACAAACTACATTGACCTTGATCTGTCATTGCAATGGTACAAACATTTCACTGTATTGAGATTCAATGGGGTAATGTTTGCGGACATACGACAAGAGTGGAAGGCAAGAAGCTTTGTAATGGTGACAAATATGAAAAAATGGCACTTCAAAGTGGAATTTTATATTTTACCTTTCTCTGATGAGCTATTTAATATTCGTTTATAATAGAGTCACAAAATACTCGTACAATTTTTCCCCACACAGTATGTTAGGAACTTGAAAGGTGCATATCTTTGGCAGTTGTTGTAGACCCTGTTAGACATTCTGTTACTCTACATTCCAAGCCATTTCCAACATTATCTCAAAATGTTTAAATATTAGCAGATCGTCATACAGCCTAAGAAAGTATTCAACAATTGCAAAGGTTAGGATATGGGATCTTGAAACAAGTCACATTTACAATTGTGTGTGAGAGTGTAATTTAGATTTTAACGTAGCTTTTAACGATTTTTCAGTCATATTGATCCGATGTCTGCAGTGTGAAAGTTTATATTGATGTCCAGCACTGGGGCATCATGCCGCAGACATTTAGCTTGATATCCCACCCATTCACATTATCTTGACAACCAGTCCTAATACCAACCTCTTAACACTGAGCGCTAAGAAAGGCAGCTAGTAACTAATGGCGTTCAGCAGAGTTGCGTACTAACACCGACAGTGTTCATTCTATTGTTCTTCCCCTTGCTGACTAATGCTTTCAGAGACGGAGATGTTTGAGTCGGCATCAGGAACTGTACAGATAGAAAACTGTTTAATCCTAGGAGGCTTCAAGCGAAAACCAAGAATATGACAGACACCTTCACGGAGTTCTTATCTGCTGATGATTGCACCCTCAATACTGCCTCAGAAGCCGACCTGCAATGCAGCCTTGACAGAGTTCTCCTGGTCTCATCATCAGTACTACGAAGACTGAAGTACTGCATCAGCCGGCCCCGGGAAAGCCCTATGTTGAGCCCAACATCACCGTCAACAGCCAAAATCTCAACGTAGTTAACCACCTCAGCTACCTTGGCAGCACACTATCACAGAGCGTCACCATTGACGACGAGTTGACCCTCAACATTGCCAGAGACAGCTCAACATTTGGCAGACTGTATGCCAACGTCTCGAATAGAAGAGGTGTAAGCATCAGGACCAACTAAATGTCTACAGAGTAGTTGTGCTCCCCACACTACCTTACGCATGCGAAGCATGGACGGTGTATCAAAGCCATGCCAGGAAGCCGAACCACTAACACACCACAAGTCTCAGGAAAATGATCAACATCAAGTGGCAGGAAAAGGTCACAAACACAGAGGTACTCTCCCAAGCAGGTCTCCCCAACATCCACAACACCATCCTGATGCAGTCCCAGCTTCGCTAGGTGGGACATGTTGTACGCACGCCAGACCACTGGCTACCTAAGAGACTCTTCTATGGCGAGCTACAGCAAGGATAGCGATCCCACGGAGGTTAGAAGAAACACTTTAAAGACAAGCTGCATTGAAAGCGTTCAACATAAATCCTGATTCATTGGAGCAAACAGCAAGCGATCTAGTCCCTTGTCGTACCTACCTGCACAAAGGCTCCAAGCTGTGCGAATCTAGCAAGACAGCAGCTGCAGAGCTGAAGAGACAAGTAAAAAAAAGCACGCTCCAGCAACCCTTTTGGATATGTCTCATTCATCTCCTGTCCCTTCTGCAACTGAGCCTTCCGTGCAACGATTGGCCTTATTAGCCACCTGCGCACTCACAGAACAGAACCAGTCCCTCCAACTCACGGATGACTAGAGTGGTCTTTGTCGACTCGTCTAACGAACAAGATATCGACGAAGTAAACAGCTTTAACACAACGTATACAGGAAATATATTCCAGTTAAGCATAGAGGACATAACTATGAACTTTTATGCTATCTTTACTGACACACACACACACACTCACTCACACACAAACACACACACACACACACGCGCGCACACCTAAACATCCTAGACATTTATATTCAATACCATTTTTATCGCTAACATTTTTAGTCATGAAGTGAGCACAAATAAAAATGCAATTTGAATTGCAAAGATAGAGGTGGACACAAATTCATATTAGGATTTATACTCCATACCTAAACTGATGTGTAGCGGACACAGTGCATATCAGAGATTCATTGTCTATGGTGTCACGTTTACTGATTGTTGAGAGATTAGGATAGGATTAAAGAGAAGCCGTGGAGTGAATGAGGCATGTTTGTATTCATCTTACGTTGACAGACAACGAGAGGGACATTAACCGCTAAGTTTGATTGGATCACTTCACAGCGACATCCAGTATGAATTGAGATAGTGGGTGTGATTACAATTTTGATCAAAATTATAACTTTCAGAACTCTAAGAAAACTTGAAACACATGGAAAGATTGCTAAGCAAATATGATTTTTCTGAGAGAACCACTCGTAATTTGGCGGTAAAACTTAGAGGTAGATTCTTAGAAAATACAAAGCTTCGAAAATGTCAGCAAGTTATTTGCTCGACTTTTTCATACTATTACGGCATCATAATGATAATTATTTGTGGTGTGTCTACTTAATTACTGGGATCCTTTAGTATGTATAATTATCTTTGTAGTGTTTTATTTACACGTGTATTTTAGAAATGGGAGTGAGCTTACGTAGAGATTATTAAATGCGAGGTCGATTTATTTAGATTGTTAGCTTGTTGTCAGAATTGATCTTGTATTTCTTTATTAGGTTATTTCGTAGTAAACAAGAACATTTAATAATGTCTTATGTTAGAATTTACACATGCTTGAGTTGTGAATTTGGAGAATGGTTGAACAATGTAAGACTAGTTCCTTTGACGTATGCATGGATATTTGAATATTTGTGTACTTTGTATGAGTTGCAAGGTAAAGAATTATATCTGATTATCGTGATGTTGTTAAGTATAACTGGATTAGGATTATGTATTAATGTGACGCATTGTATTGATGTATTTATGAACGTATGAGTATCTCGATGTGAATGAATGCATGACCGATGAAATTTAAAAGCCGTTATCTGATGATAGGCTGAGTTCTCTGAGATGAGAGGACTAAGTAAAAATATGATACTTTCCTTGTGTTTTCACATGAAGTTTTTAAGGGACAGAGAACTTCGTGTTTAGTTGAGTACCGAGTCCCCAAGAGATAGAGAATTAAGACTTGCAGAAAGTCGACGTCGACGGACGTCTAGTCGGTGAATAGCAGGTGGAGTAGGAAAAGGAGTATAGAGAAATGGAGGAGGAGGAGTATGAGAAGTCAAGGAGGAGGAGAAGGAATTTGGCTAGAGTTGAGGAGGAAGAGAAGAGGGAATCAGGAGGAATAGGAGAGAGAAGAATATCACAGATGAGTAGAATAAAAGGACAGGTGGAAATCGATCTCACACTGTTAATCACGTGATGCAATAGGGTATTAAGGGTCAAACGAAAGGAGCGTAATTGCAAATTTAAAGCATTAGATTATTGAATTGGTATTAAATTGTTATTCACAATGAATACTAAGGATATCTATTTCGTACTTAGCATGCTGTCTACAAAATACATTGCACATTAAGGATGTATATTCATTATCTAGCAAGTTGTTTACAAGACAATTTTAACACGGACAGTTTGGAAAATAACACTATTAATCTAGTCAATCGGAACACTCCTTGATCGGAAAAGCACCTCAGAAGTATTACAGTAGCTGACAATGCCTGGCATACTTCAGTGTCGAACCAAATTTTCTGGCGATTTCCCTCTTTGTATGCTGTTCCGCTTGATTTTAGTTTCTCCGAGAATTACATTTGCGGAACAGCGACAAGATATTCCGATTCATAATCTAGTTAAACAAAAGTTTGTTTGCAATATCTAATGCTTTGAAATACGGATCAATTTACATTTTGGGAAATTATCTGCTTCTATTAAATAGGGAATAAGTCATTTTAGTTAGCTTAATTGTTTACCTCTATGAAATATTGAATAATTCACTTTTTGCGAACCGCTAAGGTGGCCTAGTGGTTACAGCGTCCGTCTCGGATGCGGGAGGTTGTGGGTTCGATTCCCCGTTGAGTCATACCAAAGATTTACAAAAATGGTAATAACATCTGCCTCAGTAGTATTAGGAAACCAGGTTTTCAACTCACTTTGTTTTTTTACCCTCCAAACAAGTATAAATTATCCCCCACCCCACCCCCTTTTCTTCCAAAATAAACCAGGTTTTCAACTCACCCTAGAGGAAAACCAGGTTTTCAACTCACTTTGTTTTTTTACCCTCCAAACAAGTATAAATTATAGTCCTAAATTATCCCCCACCCCACCCCCTTTTTTTCCAAAATAAAACAGGGTTTTGACTCACCCTCCCCCCACCTCTTTTTTTTCCCCCTACTACTACCTGTAAACAGGTATTTTGTAACCAAACAAAACAACAGGTGTTGGAATGCGATAAACTCTTTACACAGAGGTGACTAATTTGTTAGAACAGCGCATGTGTGGAATACAATTATTCTAAAGACGGCAAACGGGTTTTACCACAAGATAACAGGATGAAAATTAAACTGTGCATTAGAATGTTTCAGTTAACAAGGTGGAAATTAAACTAGCATTAGAATGAAAATGATATTATTTTAGTTATATTATATCTTAAGTTTAGATAAAATTTTACGTTACTCATATTTTTTATGATATTTTTTTTCATACTTGCTAACCCTCATTGGTAGAATGTCTGTTAACATATTGTCAATAATACGAAATTCACGTAATAAATCATCCATATTATATTTAACTCCTCGTAGGTAAGACCGGATGTGATCAAGTAGTTTCTTATAAGTTTTAATTGATGTTAAACAACCATGCTTCTTTATCAAAAGTCTTGGTTCTACTTTTTTACACGCCGCTGTAAGTGAAACACCAATACCAGATATAATTAACAAAAAGGGATTTAATGATACCCCACTTGAAATTATACCAGAACTAGTCATTAACAAGGGTAGATAAGATATTACTCGAAGGATCTTGTTGTAGTATTTGTAACATTTTTTCACACACCAAAGTTTTCTATGATAATATTTATAATATTGTATTAATGCGTCCACATCCTGTTCTGAAATATCTTTTGAAATATGATTGAAATCAACTATACTTCTTTTCATTATAATATTAGTTCACATAGTCCTATGTTTGGTTAATCCATAATAAGAGCTGGTTGTTCAGCTATAAATTCCAAACACCAGAGAAAAATTGTTAATTTTAAAGTTTTATCAACTGGTTCAAGTACAAATTCTTCTTCAGAATTTTGGTTTATTATTACAGATAATACTCCAGATGAGTCATCATTTGGATGACGAAGTGGATATTTGGTAGATATTCTAAACTTTGCACTGCTAAGCACTGACAATCTATACATACCAGTAACTTCTGCAGTGTATTTGATAGAATTATTTTGCCTCGTCCATGTACTATACCCAGATGCAACAGTATACACAATATTTTTAATCTGTTTGTGAGGAATTTTAACCATACTCGTTTTCTCAACAATATTAGGAATTCCACTAATAATATCATTGAGTTTTGTGTTAATATTAGCGAGTGTAATGTCAACATTTGATGGATTTCCAAAAAATTCATCTTTAATTTTGTTTATGCTTCTGCGAAAACTTGAAAATGTGTTCATGTGACTGGTAAAATTATTTTTGAGTGCTGTGATTTCATTAGTAATTAAAGCGTCCCAATCATTGACATATTTTTTAGTGACAGCATCCCCATCCTCAGTTGGGTTTCCAAGATCTGTAATCTTATTTTGTTTCATAACAATATTCCCACTAAATACATCACCATCTTTTTTAACAAAATCATTAACTGACCTACCAGAATCTTGTATATTACCTAGATTGTTAAAAGTAACGATATTATTAGCAATCGCAGCAGTATTTCGTACAACTACATCTGACAGTTTTACATTACTCGTCTTTAATCGTCCTTCTTTGTCTTGGAAAATGACAACTTCATCTGGATCTACGCTGGTAAGATTTAGTAAATTATTGATTTCATTTTTGAGCCGATCAAGAGTTGCATATTTGGATAAGTCACCTTTAAAACGTTTTGTGGATAAATCTTCTAATAGTGTTCCAAATTTTGTATAGTAGCTCATTATTTACTATCCTAGATAAAATTATCAACACTAGTTTAATATTATACAAAATGGCAAAATCGTCGATACTAAACTTTGATACAGAGAGACTAGTGAAGCATAAACATAATAATGAACTTCCTGATTGTCATTATCTTATTGTTGGGCGAACTGGATCGGGGAAAACAAATTTGCTTATGAACTTGCTTCTTGGTGATAATTTTAACTACGATAGAGTTTATATTTACACAATCAATCCACAGCAAGATAAGTATGAGTTATTAAGTGAGTATAATGAAAAGCTTCGTGATGATCTTAAAGCTGGTGAAGATTTTTTTATAATTAGGCAGCCAGAAGATCTTATTCCAGTTAATC